CTTGCTTCAGAAGGGGTGTCCTTTTAAGGATAAAGTCTCTAAGTCAAACTGATCCCATTCCCTCCTGTCCTGGGACCTTTCAAAGTTTTCTTTATATACTACCCCCTGCGCATTCCATCCCTTCTGCCTACAGAGTCATCTTCAGTTCTTCCCTCTCCAAGCCGTAGGTCCTTTGCATCGATTCCATTCTTTGCATCCCCAACATTACAGCCTTAGTGAACTGAAGGTGGGCCAGTGGATCTCCTCTAAAACTTGTGATGAAATTTGGAGAAAGATGAATAAAATGATGTATATAAAATAAGAAAGCTGTTCCAAATACCACATATGTATTGGAGGGAGGAGGAGCATGGGAAGCAGCTTAGGAAACACCTAAGAGGGAGATGTTATTAAAGAGGGCACTTAACACTGGGACAGTGGAGCACAGGGGAGTGAGGTAAAAGTGAAGCATTCAGACCTAATAAAAAAGAGTTATAGAAAGTATTAGAAGAATTTGGATAATCATTAAACTGACACTTTTTAAAATACTGCCATTTGGAAATGATGCTAAGGGAGAGGGCCTTTGAGCTGGAAGTTTGAAAAAATTACAGCAGTACCAGATATAATAGGCCCAGAGTCAGAGTTAGACATGTGAGAATTAATTTGAGAAATGTGCATAAGAAGAGAGAAGGTTTTGTTACAACTTGATGTAAGGAAAGAAGAGGAGTGAGTGGGTTCCAGAGGACTCTTAAATTTCATGCTTGGAAGACAGGTAAGAGGGTAACACTTTTCATGGTGATCTAGAAACTGAATGGGTCAAAGACTTTTGGTATAAAGTGATTCATTCTTTGTATAAAATGCCCTGGAACACCCATTGAAACACCCTGTATTAAGTTTTGTGGTCAATAAGAGGTGCTTTCTTTTAAGAGAGAGAACTGGATGTCTAATAAAAACTTAGGAGAACGTATGTAATGTATAGTAAAGTTGAAGGACTGACCAGTATTTTATCAGGGAGCCTTGGAAATATGAGAGAGGTAGGGCAGTGTAACTTTGTGTCAGCAATTACATGGGGTAGAACTTGAATCTGAGATTAATAGATTTACTGATTATTCAAAATAATCCAACATGAGTGGCAAAAATGCTGTTTTCAGTATATAAAAGAATGGTGCACATTACTTCATTAATCTCTACTTGTCCTAGTTAACTTAGTAGCTCTTGCTAAAATGGGATAATCTGTGAATTCTGTCTTAAAAACAAGTGAGAGCATAACTGGTATGCATTCATATTCTGTTCCTCAAAATTGAATCATTTGCTCTTTTTAATATGCTTGGGGGGATTATTTTTTCTAACAGTATTGCTAGAAAGTCCTGTGTGTACACCATGAATGTTAACTGTTCAGTCCTACTCTTGATTATTGATTAGGTAGTAAGAACAGAGATAAAGTAATATGTAAATATCTTTTGATTTTTTAAGAATGTAGACATCTTGAATTTCTATATTATTTGAATTTTAAGTGACATTTTTGGCAGGTAGAATTGAGAAATATTTAGTAAAGGGTCATGCTTATTAAACATTAGTCATTTATTTGTTCAACAGTTATTTATTTGGGTAACTAATTTATGTCAGGCCCAGTTCTAGGTCCTGGGAATACAAGGATGAACAAGCCTTCGTGGAGTTTATATTTTCGTGGGGAAGATAAGAAATGAACAAATCTGTAATGTGAAGAAGTGATAAGTGCTATAAAAAATAATGGTATGGGGCGAGTGTGATGTGCTGGGGCTATTTAGGTAGATTAATCACGGAAGGCTTCTCTGAGGGAAGCAGAGGCCTGAATGAAGAAGAAAACCTTGCAAAATTATTCCAGGCAGAGGGAACAGTAATTGCAAAACCCCTGAGTCAGGATGTAGCTCAGTGAGAACCAGTTTGGTAGGTTGGAATGAAAGCAAGAAAGCTAGTCCGACAAGAGCAGAGAGAGAACAAAGTGGAGAGTAGTAGGAGATGAGAATGAAGAGGTAGGCCGGAGCCAGAGCATATTGGGCTTTATTGGCCTTGGATTTTATTTTGAGTGTAATTGGAGGCCATTGGAGGGCTTTTGGGTGGAGTTGTGACATGATCTGATTTACATTTTACAAAGTTCATTCCAGCTTCTGAGTGGAAAACTGACTATAGGAAAGGCAGGGTCTGAGCATTGGACCATTTAGGGAGCTTTTGCAGTGATCTAGACCTGTGGTTTCCAATGTGCCGGTGATCCATTGTGGTACAAGAAGAAACTTAGAACTTCTCTAACTTTTTTTTTTTTTAATCTTAAAATTAAGAATAAAAAAGCTTTACTAATATTTAATATACAGATTGCCATTGACGCCCCCCATTTCATTGGTATGTTAGTCACATATCTCCATTTTTGGCTCAAGCAACTGGGTGAATACTGGTGCCATTTATCGAGATGAGAAGACTGAGGGAGGAGCAGGGTTTGTTTTGGGGTGGGAATGGGGAGTCAGTAATTCAATTTTGGGCATGTTAAGTTTGAGTTGCGTATCAGAAATCTAATGAGATATGTCATACCAGGTTTGTGGTTTAGATATATGGGTCTGAAGCCAAGGTTAGAAGCCAAGATTGGAGATCAAAATTTGGAAATCATTAGCATAGAGGCAGTATACACCAACTTTGGAGCCAAACTGTGTGAATGCAGATTTCAGCTCTGCCACTACTGTGTAATTGTGGGCAAGTTACTTGACATCTCTCGGTTTCAGTTACCTCATCTGTAAAATGGGGACAATGATAATACTTACCTCACAGGGTTATTGTGAGGATTAAGTAAATTAATACAAGCACAGTACTTTGAATAGTGTCTGACACATAGTAAGCACTAAATAGATGTAAACTGTTACTATCAGTTTATGAATGGTGTTTAAAACCATGAGGTTAGATAACCTAGAGAGTAAGTATAGATAGAGAAAAGGGCCAGGGACAGAGCCTTGAAGCAATACAACGTTTACAGTTCAGAAATAGGAAGAGGAGACTGAGAAGGAATGAGGTCAAATGAGAAAGGTGTGGTGTCTAGAAGCCTGCCTAGTAAAAAAAAATAGTTTAAGAAGACATCATCAACTTGGACAAATGCTGCTTGAGAGGTTGAGCAAGATGAGGACCGAGAATTGACCAGTAGGTTTGTTGAGATGGAAGTTGTTGGAGACCTCGAGTCAGTAGAGCGGATGAAAGCCCAGCTGGAGTGGGTTAAGGAGGGATCGGAGACAGAGAATCAGAGGCAGTGAATATAGATGACTCATTTGAGGAGTTCTACTATAAAGGAGAGCAGAGAAGAATGGAGTAGTAGCTAGAGGAAGATATGTGAGGTTAAGGAAAGGTAGGGGTGGGGTATATGTATTGATTTAAAGATGGGAGATCATATAGCGTGTTTGTATACTGATGAGAATGACCCACTGGGAAGAGAAAAATGGATGGTATTTGAGTGTCCTGGGATAATTGTAGCAGCCAAGACCCTGAGTAGATAAAATGAGGTGGGTGTGTGCACAAGTGGAGGGGTTAGTCTTAGACATTGGCGGAGACATTTCATCCATTGATGAAAGCAGAGAACATATAGATGAAGATAGTTTGGTAGATTTGGTTATGGGAAAATGGGGTCTTTTTTTCTGATTGCTTTAATTTTCCAGTAAAAGAGGCAGGGTCATCGGCTGAGAGTCAGGAGTGGGGAGGGCTTTGTAAGGTTTGAGAGAGAGGAGGTGGTGTGAAATAGGCATCATGGCAGGTAAGAGAATTGAGTTTGATAGGAAAATGCAGCTTGATTGTCACAGAGTTTAGAAGACCCTTTTGACATTTGTGGTCATTAGATTAAAATTATTCCAGCAGAGTAAGGAGAAGAATGAGATTCTTGAGGGGGTATACAGTGAAAAAGCGGTGGAGACAAATGCCTTCTCTGCTTCTATTTTGAATGTCTTTAGTCCCGTGGGAAGGAGCCCCTGGCGGCGCAGTGGTTAAAGCACTCGGCTGTTAACTGAAAAGTCGGTAGTTCGAATCCACCAGCTGCTACTCGGGAGAAAGAAGTGGCAGTCTGCTTCCGTAAAGATTTATAGCCTTGGAAACCCTGTAGGACAGTTCTGCTGTGTCCTGTAGGGTCGCTGTGAGTCTGAATTGACTCAGTGGCAGCGGGTTAGGTTTTTTTTAGTCTCATAGGCAGGAAGCCACAGAGGACTTAGTAAAAATGAATAGGCCAAAAAATACCATCTCATGTTTGCTGATGTTCAATGTATATATCATGATGTTTCATGTAGAGGATGGGTTCCTAGAGGTGTTGATGTTGCCATTTTTCCTTGGGTCTGCCTATTTTACACAAGTATTAACAAGCAGACCCTGGGACACTTTCAGTGAATTACATTTGTCTATTAAGTTATGTAAAAGGAGCCCTCGTGGCGCAGTGGTTTCAACTCTTGGCTGCTAACCAAAAGGTCAGTGGTTCGAACCCACCAGATGCTCCATGGGAGAAAGATGTGGCAATTTGCGTCAATAAAGATTACAGCCTTGGAAACTATATGGGGTGGTTCTACTCGGTCCTATAGGGTCGCTATGAGTTGGAATTGACTCTACTGCAGTGGGGTTTTTTTTGTTTTATAGATACTTAGAGAGCCCTGGTGACACAGTGGTTAAGTGCTTGGCTGCTAAACAGAAGATTGGTGGTTCGAACCTATCAGCTGCTCCATGGAGGAGAGATGTGGCAGTTTGCTTCCATAAAGATTTACAGCCTTGGAAACCCTATGGGGCAGTTCTACTCTGTCCTGTAGGATTACTATGAGTCGGAATCAACTCGATGGCAGTGGGTTCGATTTTATGTAAAGACAGTGAAATGCTCTAATGGAGAAGCTCATAGTTTTTGCTGATAGACAGGAAAGCTTCACCAGAATTTTCCCTGGAATGGTGGTTGCCATTAATCTATAATTATTGCTCATATGGATTTCGTATATCTGTGTTTGATTACAGATAAATTCAAAGTATGTTTTTTTTCCCTCTTTCAGGTGCTGGAGAATCTGGTAAAAGCACCATCGTGAAACAGATGAAGTAAGTCGCGACATGGCTGTATTTCCTCATAAAGCATAAAAAATGCATAGTATCTTTTCATTTTAGGTCTATGATAATGACTTGTGGTTTTCCTCTTTTTAAAGAATCATTCATGAGGATGGCTATTCAGAGGAAGAATGCAAACAGTATAAAGTAGTTGTCTACAGCAATACTATACAGTCCATCATTGCAATCATAAGAGCCATGGGACGACTGAAGATTGACTTTGGGGAAGCTGCCAGAGCAGTAAGTGTTTCTCATTTCCTCTTTGCTTGATCAGTAGATGCAGTTAAGGGAGAGGCAAAATTTGCTTCATGTTTTAGGGAAATAAATTTAAGCAACAAGATTTGGCAAAGTGCTGTGTAGTCACTTGAGAAGTGTTAGCAATCTGCTTTCAGAGAAATTAGATTACCATCACAACAAAGAGTCTGGGCACTGGGTTTCTGTAATAACTTTTATTCAGTTGCTACTTTCACAGCACTCTTGACTTTTATAGTAATTCATGGTAAATTGAAATAATCTAAAAGAAAAGTTGCCATAATATGCTATTTTTTGAGGTGTAGTGATTAAAGGCAAAAAACGATCTCCCAGAATAAACTTGGTAAGGCATGATCATGAAGTCTAAATTTTGAAGACAGGTTTCAGGTATTCAAGAATACTGTATCCTTATACTGAGGAGCCCTGGTAGTGCAGTGGTTAAGAGCTCAGCTGCTAACCAAAAGGTCGGCCGTTTGAATCCACCAGCTGCTCCTTGGAAACCCCATGGGGCAGTTCTACTCTGTCTGATAAGGTTGCGATGAGTTGGAATCGACTTGATGGCAACAGATTTTTGGTATATCCTTATACTACATGGAACCATAGGCTGTAGAACTGGATTATACTATGTTCTAGTATAATTTTTTAATGCCTTACACACGTCAGATATTCAAAACTTGTGTTGATTAGTTTTAATACTTAGTAGGCCCTGAAAGTCTAGTTTGTAAAGTTATATGTTTGAAGCCACTGGAGAGAGGGTCAAAATAAAGTCAGGGGTGGGATCTTTTATCTCATCATCAGCTAAAGTCCAACAGCAGGCTGGATTTATTTCCTGGAATTAGGGAGTCATCAGCATCTCCTGAGTGCTGGGTTCAGAGTGTCATACATAGATGCTATAGAAAAATAGAAGGCAGTGACTTGGGGAATCTGTCCGGAAAGGCAAAGCCTGTGTCTATGAAGCAGCATAGGAACTCTTATAAGCAACCTCTCAGCCTATCATATGCAAATTAATACTCATGAAATAAGTTGGGAAGCTGTTGAGGGTGAAAAAGATTACAAGATTGGTCCTAGTTGGATGGTATTAGTCTAGGAAGTGTCTTAGAAGTAGCATAGGGAAGAGGAGCTAGATTAGAGGTTATAAGAAGGTTCTTATGAGGTTCCCATCATAAGAGGAAGGGAAGAGGAAATGCATGAGGCACAACTTCCATATTTTTGTAAAAAGGTGCCATATCACATAAATTAGAGACTTTATATTTCTAAGCCTCTGAGCAGGGAAAATTTGTTAGCTAAAGCAAAAATAAATAGTCTATATTCTTGTGTTATTCCTTTCTGTTCCTTATGTTACCTCCTGCTTTTCTTTCCTTTTTTTTCCCCCTCTTCCTACCAGCTCTCTCCTATATTCTTATTCCACCCACCCCCCCCACTCCTCTCTATCACCTGATTCTGCTTCTCTGTTGTATTTGCTGTGTTAGATAACTATTCGGTGGTATTGTATTTATTCTCTTTCCTCTCTTTATTGGCTTTTTCTCCATCTCGGTTACTTATTTCTTCTCTTAGTTTCACCCTTTTTCCTTTTCCCTTCTTTATTTCTCTCCTCCTGTCTGTCCTCCTTTATTTCTCTTGATCTTCTTATTTCTTTCCTTTATCAATTCAGTTGTCATTAATCTTTGGGTCCTAACACTCCTGTGTCACCAGATGCAGTTCACATCATTAATCCCTCTCAGGTCTCCTGAATCACTTAGCTTTCCAGCATCCTCCCATCCAAATACAATGCTATGTAATTTTTTAAAGTTTCTCTTTTTTCGTTTCATACGTAAGGCTTTATACGTATGTCTCATCTGTGATTCTCCTCTTAGTTTTTTATAGTTGGTTAGAGTGAATGGATAAGAATAGAGCTGGGTGTTGGGTAGGGCGCTTTTTCTTACGTGCTTAAGGGTGGAGGTATGAAGTTCATTGTAAAGAGGGGCCTCTTTATAGACCTGTGGAGAGTTTATTGTGGAGAAGTAAAAGCAAGTCAGTGGAAGAGAGTAAGTGGTAAGGGAAAAGTGTTTCCTCCTGGAAGAATGTTTACAGAGTCAGTACAGCGAAAATATGTAGCAGCAACTCCCTGTATTTTGAAGTTTCTAAAATTAGAATTATGGTATTAAAAAATATATATATTGTTTATTGAGGTTATTTGAATAGTTGCAATTTTCAGAACCAAGGACTTGCTCATTGTTCAGTATGTTTTCAAGTTTGTGAATTTTTTATCTTTTCTCAATCAATTCGTTTATTCAAATTCTTATCTCTGCAAAGAGAGGAGGGGGGTATAGTTCTTAGGTAAGTTTTTTAGAGAGTGTTGGACCTAGAGTTTTACTAGGAGAAATATAGGGAAGGTCCTTAAGGGAGTAATAAAGGAAGAGGGATCTTAAAAAACAAAGACCATTCAGGCTGAAGACCTTGAGTTTGGCAAAATTAATCTGAGTGCATATGTGTAGTTTTGTTTGGTTTTGTTTAAGTGGATGCACAGGTTCTGGTAATAGACAAGTCTTAGAAGGTTTTAGTTGTGATTTCACCTGTTTTCTGAAATGCTTTGCTTGCTAGTTGACTTTATCCTAATGACTATTTTTGATACAGTTGATTGCTCCCCTCCTTTTACTCTTTCTTCACTCAGTATGGGCTTTTTTTAGTATCCGCATTTTTAGAGTTATTTGGAAATCTTCTGGGCTAGTTAAATATTAGATGTGAGGTGAGGAAATCATCTCATGAGACCTGTGTTTATATTTGAACTCTCTTACAAGTAGTGATAGATAGAATCTAACGCAGAACAATAAAATTCACATAGCCTTGTTCTGTCCCCTCTACCTCTCACATATTTTAGGTGTAGAAACTGTAACTACTTTGTCTTAGGCTGGGTTCTCTAGAGAAGCAAAATCAGTGAAGTGTATAAATATATAATATATCAAAGAAACAGCTCACGCGATTGTAGAGGCTAGAACGTCCCAAGTCCGTGGATCAGTGTAGAGGCCTCTCCCAAGTCACACAGCTGCAGAAGCTGACAAGCCCAAGATCGGAAGGTCAGAGAGCAGGGCTCCCGCTCACAGGCTCTGCAGATCGACGAATACCAGGTTCAGCAGATAAGCTGACAGCTCAAGTCCCAAGAATGGGAGATGAGATGACAGGAAGCAGTCGCAGGATCCAGAGAGCAAAAAGCCAGAACATCTGCTTATATACAGATTCGGGCCACACCCCCAAGGAGGCTCCCTTTCATCTGATTGGCTACTCACAGTATATTCAATCATGGGAGTAATTACATTAAAACACGGAGAATCATGGCCCAGCCAAATTGACACACAATCTTAACCATCACATACTTATAAAAAGCTATGTCTGTGAGTTACAATTGATTTGATCACATCTCTCCTTGTTACTTTTTCTTCCTCCTTCTGCCTTCTTCCTTCCCACTCCCCTTATTTACAGGATTATTATTATTCCTTTGGGGAAGTCTAGACACTGTTTGAATTTTTCCCTTAGGGATTTATTCTCCCCTCACACCCACTCCCAGGCTTCCAGAAGTCTCCTTAAATGCCTCAATCTTCTCTTCTTCCTGTACTGCTGTCTGAGCTGACTGGGAAGCTTTTCCTTAAGCTTGATTAATGTTTTACTCCTTTTGACGTGTTTAGACTTTACCTCTTCTTACTTACTAGTCTTCTCAGTTCTATTTTTATTGTAGATTTCCTTTAACAGAACGGAAATGTATTACATAGGCCTGTCTCACAGACCAGTTTTTTTCTATTGAAATCATGAGTAACCAGGATGGAGACTGAGGCAGTCAGAAGAGATCTTTTCAGGGGATGGTGGTGTGGTGGGGAATGGAATCGTCCCTCAGCTGAGTTCTGGACTGTTAACTATAATCCTGTCTTTTAGGTGGAATGAGAAGGAGGAAAGACTTAAATGTAAATTCTCTTAGACTTCCCTGCCAGAAAAGATCTCTTTAATACCTCTTTTAAAATAATATAACGTTATTATAATTTTTGTAATATATAATGTGTTATCAAGTCTTTCAGAAATAGAGAATGATCTGACTCTCTTTCTCAACTGCTTTGTTCAGGATGATGCCCGGCAATTATTTGTTTTAGCTGGCAGTGCTGAAGAAGGAGTCATGACTCCAGAGCTAGCAGGAGTGATAAAACGATTATGGCAAGATGGGGGGGTGCAGGCTTGCTTCAGCAGATCCAGGGAATATCAACTCAATGATTCTGCTTCATAGTAAGTGACTTTTCTCTGTGAAACTGTAACAGAAAATAACTTGATGGCCTAGAGAAAGTTCAGTGCCCATCTTTAAGGAAATGTTTAATTAACAGACACTCTGTAGGATCCTTTATAAAGATTGTCTCAATTTAGGGTTATAGAACGCTTAGTCATTTGTATGACTTGGAGAAAAAAGTTCTCTTTGGAATGTAAATGAGAAACTTGGAATTATGAAAGTAGCTCCATGTTATGTTTATAGTAAGCAAGTGAAGGAGGAGAGTAATCTGTTGCAGCTGGGTTCTGGATCTCCTCCAGTTTAATAAATTCCCTCTGCAGGAGTGCTTGGCAGATAGAGCCAGCTAGAGAGGGAAATTAGAATTGTGATAGCCCTTTTTATGCAGCTAATTCTTGTGGCTTGGCTGCACCATGGATTTCTCTGGTACTAAGCACCACTTATAAATCCTTTGCCAGATCACAATAGTAAATTTTATATAGGAGGAAAATGGTGAGTATTGGAATAAAGTTGAAGCATCTTTTGTCTAGGCAATTCTCATGAGTGTTACATAGTTTTAGAAAATTTGTAATTACATGCTGTCCTATTTTGCTGCTTTTGCTCATGTTTATTTATAAGAATATATTCAGAATGTGTGTTCTGAATGTATGTAATAGGGCATTAGAGAATGCTGTTTAAATTACCAAAATTAAAAAGAGAACTGTACTCAGTAACAATGAATATTTTGGGAAAATGTGTAATGTACATTTTGGAAAAATGCTGAGCTCTTGTTAATCTGTATTCATCTTTGTACTAGATAAAGACACTTTTAAATATTACCTCCAATATTATACTTTACTACTTTTCCCACCCTCATTCTAGTTCACATTGTTTTAAGAAGGAATTAAAGTGATATTTGAAAAACTTTTTCCAGTGAAAACTTGACTTTAGAAACATTTCAGGATTTTTGCCCATCTTTTATTTAATTATGTATTTTAGTTGCAAGTATTGATGGTTTAAATAATTTTCCCAGTGGTCATCAAAGCTGGATTGTAGTTGTTTTTTTAACCAGATATTCACTAACCTCTGAATCCTCTAACTGCACTTGAGGAGATGTGATTTATAGAGGTTTATTTTTTTTTTCCCCCCACATAATTATTGATCCAAACTTGACTGATTCTTTAACATTCATGGTAGCACTTGGTTTTATAGAAGCTTGTTAATGATTCACTTATAATGATGCCATCTGTTTTTCAGTTTGCTAATCAAAACATCTTTAGGAACTCTGAAATTAGTGAAAAATTTAGCTTTGAAGCAGTCTTTTAATTATTTCATTCAACAAATAAATTTCTTTGGAGATATTTGTGATTTGTTTTTTGTTGGTGGTGGTGGTGTTTTTTTTTTTTTTTTATTTTTGGCTTAGATTAAAAAAACCCACAGTTCTTCTGTTTCCTGATTGAAAATAGGAAATATTCATTCTTATTGACTGTAGTTCTGTTTTTAGTTTTAGTAATTCAAACACCATTCTCTAATGCTCTATTACATGATTACATGTGCAAATGAGCTATTAACTTTAAATGTCTGAGGGCTTTGTAGATTTTGTACTATACAGTGCACAGTTGAGTTAGTATTAAATTTCAGGAATCTTTCTTTAATAATAACATTTTCATGTTGTTGTTTTTAAATTGGCCTTCATAGTTTAATTCTGTAGAATTAAAACCACTGTTGTGTAATATATATAGAACCTACCTTGATTGTCCTATGCTGAGTTCCGTTTTCTTCTGTTATCATGATACTGAAGGTCTGATTTTGTTTGGCCACTTTAGTGACAGGTTCAGAATCTACTTTTGGCAAGAAACTAGTTTAATCTGTTGGCTTGCTGTGCAAATGGTTAACTTCACCAGGTAAAAGTAAATGTGTGGTTTATTTAGTTACCTAAATGATTTGGATCGAATATCTCAAACCAACTATATTCCAACTCAGCAAGATGTCCTTCGGACAAGAGTGAAGACCACTGGCATTGTGGAAACGCACTTCACCTTCAAGGACCTATACTTCAAGTAAGTCATTAGCTTTTTTGCTCAGTGTGCCAAACAGAAATATCTTTACTTAGAGCCCTAGTGGTCTTAGTATCTCTTAATTGGGGTAAAATTCTATAGGGAATATTTCCTGGTGTAGAAACTTATCATCATAGTCATCAGCCAGTATTTGAATGTTTTGACTGAATGAGGGGTCCAAACGTTTCTTCTTTCTCTGAATAGCATCAAATATTTGTGTCCGTTTGGAGGAATTTAAACTTAAATTGTAATTTACCTACCGATAGAATTACACATGGTTACCGATTTATTTTATTTTTAATTTTATTCTTTTCAGCTACTTTTTTGTTGGAATCACCAAAACAGGTATTGAATGTTTATTGTTTAGAAGGATAACAACAATACTAAAGGGATAGAAAACCAGTTTTTAGTTTAGTTATGTGGCTTTACTCTACCATTTTGATATTAAAATAGAAATGCTTTTCTTACTAGTGTCAGTCCTTTCTTACTGGTCTGCATTTCCCTTTAAGTTTAATGGAATGGAGCTAATATTGCCATGCCTCTTGGACTGACTTGTACTCAGCATCATCCACAACTAAGTTCTTAACACAGTACAGGATGGAAAATTGGCCTGAGGTTAGAGGTATTTTTGGGAGTGTTGATGACGTATAAACAGTGATTGTTTTTTAATGAGAGAGAATTCTAATATTATTAATGCAAAAGAATTTCGTATCAGCGTAAGTAATTCTAAAATAGGCTTCAGTTTGTCTCTGTGTTAATGGCCCTGGTGGTGCAGTGGTTAAGAGCTACAAGGAACTGTGCATGCTAACCAAAAGGTTGGCGGTTCGAATCCACAGGCTGCTCCTTGGAAACCCTATGGCGCAGTTCTGCTCGGTCGTATAGGGTTGCTATGAGTTGGAATCCACTCAGCGGCAATGGGGTTAGTTTATAAATAGTAGAACTGTCTTTTTGGGTTCCAGTTTTCTGCTTTTGTGACCTTTGAGATCAGGAGTAAACCTTTCCCTCTCAATATATGATATAATTTTTAGCTATCTCATTATGCTCTTTTGTAGAATGTGATAGTCATCACTGTTGCATGCAAATGTAACTAGTACCTCGGATCTTCTAGGTTTTCTCTGGAAACAGTTGATCCACAGAATTTGTGAAACTCACACAAGGGTTTAGGCATTACTAGAGGGCAGTGGTGGTTCGGTGGTAGAATTCTCACCTTGTGGGACCTGGGTTTGATACCTAGCCAGTGTACCTCATGCACAGCCAACTAGCCATCTATCATTGGAGGCTTGCATGTTGCAATGATGCTGAACAGGTTTTAGCAGAGTTTTCAGACTCAGACAGACTGGGAGGAAAGGCCTGGAGTTCTGCTTCTGAAAATCAGCCAATGAAAACCCTGTGGGTCACAATGATCCAGTCTGCAACCGACCATGGAGATGGTGCAAGACCAGGCAGAATTCATTCCGTTGTGCATAGGGTTGCCATGAGTCGGGGGCTGACTTGACAGCAGCTAACAACAAATGCCAGTCAAGGTCTTGAAATTTTAATACACCAATCCAGATTTGAACCCGGTGTAGGAAAACAGCAGTTGAGCCAAATGTTCTTAAAATAGAGTAATTGTTTATCTTAAGTACCGAGGAATTTAAGAAGAGCAAGAAAGCCACATAGACTATTACCTATGAAACCATAGAGTGAAATTTCTTGTGTGTACTATAAGATTAGTAGTCCATTTATAATTAATTATTGTTTCTTATACTTATTTAGTGTGGGAAACTTTCTTGTTTAGGTTGGCATAGATCTTAAGTTAGGTAAATCCTGTCAGTGTTTTATACCAGGATCAATAGCCAGATGTAATTAAGGTGCCACACCCAGTTTATTGTTGGCATGTAGCTATCTTATTATGAAGTACTATCACTTCTTCCTTTTCCTCTTCTCTCTAGGCAAAACCACTATCCCATTTATTCAGACATTTATTGAGCATCTTCTATATACATGGCATTGTGTAATTGCTTACTTGCCTCTCAATTATGAGGTAATGTTTATAAAATGTTGATCTATTAGTGGATAGTATTGTCAGTGTCAATATGTGCTAAAAGCTTACCTTGAAACTTCACTGTGTTCTGCCAGTTTTAGACTTTATGGAAGAAAATGGAATAAATGGAGATTATTGGTGTACATTTCCATGATGAAATGTATGGTGTCAGCCTTCCTAAAACCTATAATAATATGACTCTGTATTAAGCCAGTTAGTGATTTCATCATTACATGTGTAATGACCAAAGGTTGAAAACGACTGTGCAGGGTCAGCCAGAAGAGAAAGCTGGGTTATGAAGGGATATGATGAATGTTCATTTCAAACATACATTGAGAAATTACCAACTATGTCTTATTTCTCTCACTTTCTGGGGGGAAAAAAAAATCTCTGGAAATTTAGTCCCCTAGACACTGTAGATCTGACATAGTAAACCAGCTTGGCAGAGTTCAACCTTTAAAAACCTTATCATTATCATCAAACATAGATCTTAAGAGTGTCTAACCATTTCCATGCATACGTTTTCAGATCTTAACATCAGCTAAAAGATGAAGCACACAGGTGTTCCACTGCTGTAGGAGGTAGATGAAGGCACTGTTGACAGAAGTTCAGGAGTTGAATGAGGATATCAAGGAAGCTCCGAAGAACGGAGTAGTAGACTAATCTGGAGTGGGACAAAAAGTGTGTGAACAGTTGAGGCTTTGTTATTATTAATTAGTTTCAAGATTTGGTAGAGTTGGGAAATACTCGTTTAAGTTTTGTTTTTAGATACTGTGTTCTTAAGGTTCTACCATAAAATATGATTTAGTTTTTCACAATCCCCTAAAAATTTTTTTTTCCTCAAAGTAAGAAAAACTTGAATCAGTAGAAAGAGGTTATGGAAGCAGAGTGCAAGACTTGAATCAGTAGAGAGACGTTGTGGAAGCAGAGTGCAAGCTGGAGAATTTATATTTTTTCATTGTTCTCTTTTAACTAAAGAAGTGAACCCTTTTGAGAGGTAGAATGGTATTTTGTGAATAAGAGCTTGGACTCTGGAGTTAAGAGTATTTGGGTTCAGATCCCCAGTCCCCATTTGTTAGCAGCGTGCCCTTGGGCAAATTATTTAACATGTCTGTGCCTCAATTTCTTCATCTGTAAAATGAGGATAATAAAAATAGTACTTAGAGAGGAGTGTGCTGTCACAGTACAGGGAGAGCAACTAGGGTCACATAACAATGTATGTATAAATTTTTATATGGGAGACTAACTTAAATTGTAAACTTTCACTTAAACTACAACAATAAAAAAAAGCATTTAGAAGATTGTTACGAGAATAAAATGAGTTAGGGTATTTAAGGTGCTTAGGGTGATGTCTGGCACTGTGTAAACACTCAATAAATATTAGTTATTGTATTAATTACTATTATTATCGCAAGCTATTATTCAGTTTTTCATTTTTCTTATCTTTTCCTCCTCCTTCCTTTATTCCATTTCAGTGCTTATTCTGCTGACTTTTGGCACATCCAGTATAAGCTTTAACAAAGAGGAGGCTCAACTATTTATCTAAAATAAAGATTTTGATTATTCCAAAATTTTATTTTCTCATGTGGTTCCCTTTTACTTTTAACCACAGATAATTATTTTGACTACATTGCGTCAGCAACTTGTTTGTCTTTTCTGTTACAAAGAGGGGGGTTGTGAATATGCAGTGGGTTCCTTAACTATTTAAATTTAGGGAGAAGTACCTGGATGACCTTGCTGAATTTGTGCTTTTTTTTTTGTTTCCTATTACTCAGGATGTTTGATGTAGGCGGCCAAAGATCAGAACGAAAAAAGTGGATTCACTGTTTTGAGGGAGTGACAGCAATTATCTTCTGTGTGGCCCTCAGTGATTACGACCTTGTTCTGGCTGAGGATGAGGAGATGGTATGTTGGAAGTTCTGGTAAAAAGTCTGTTTAATGCAGCCAGGAAATGGAAAATAACTCTTAGGAAGACTTTGTGCATCCATTTAGTCATTGAACCAAGACTTAATAATCCTTAATTTTTTTCCTTATCAGTGAGATTTTCAAAATATTGGTCCATGCCCTGTTGCTTTTAAAGAGATATGATAGCTACATTGAGTATGCAGGCAGGATTAAGTCCTCTTGTTAGCCAACCCTTCTTCCCACCCCCAAGAATTACAAAAATGAGGACTAACCCAGCCTGTGTGTTATCCTTGTCTGGCTTATTTCCATGAATGTCATTCAGTGCTTTTAAAACTTGTTAGTCTGTTTTTTTCATTAACAGTTAATCCGCTTTTACTTTTTGTTACTGGCCTATCATCCTTGTTTCTTTTTTAGAACCGAATGCATGAAAGCATGAAACTGTTTGACAGTATTTGTAACAACAAATGGTTTACAGACACTTCAATCATTCTCTTCCTCAACAAAAAAGACCTTTTTGAAGAAAAAATAAAGAGGAGTCCATTAACTATCTGTTATCCAGAATACACAGGTAAGGGGTCATGAAAGATTTTATTGGATGTATGCGTCTTAGGTTAGCACTTTGGTGACATTCATACAGTTGCCTTTTGGTTTTGAATCATACATGCGTGTCCTCATGGAGAGTGTTCACTGGTGGTAGTATCAGCATTAAGCATGTAACTAAGACTCCTTAAATGTAAATTGCTATTCCAGACATAATTGAGTTTACTGTGTTTACTTCACATTTCTGCCCTCCTCATTTCTTGAGGAAAATAAAGAAAGATAAAGTCAAAATTTGGTATAAATATGTCCAAGGAAATACAAGGATAAGATGCAGACTTTGTGTTCAGGAAATTGACATCTAGTTGCAGAGAGAGAAATATGCACATACAGAATTTTATGGCAATGTAAAATGAGCATTAGTAGAATTAGCTACAGTAGAAGTAGAACAGAAGAAGTGGTTACCTCTGGTGGTGTCACCGTATTCTTTTTCTAGAGGAAATAACACTTGAGCGAGGCATTAAGAGAATGAATTAGAGATCACCAGGTAGATGAGGGAATAAAGCATTTTTGGAAGAGAGAATAGCATATATGAAAATATGGAGGAAAAAAGGTCATGTTCTCCTCTGGAATCTAGAAGTGGTGGGGAAGGAGTGGATGGAGCAATGAGCAGGGATCCGCTTAAGCAGGGGCTTGTATCGCATGGTCAGGCAGTGGAACTTTATTGAAGGATTTTAATTGGGGGTAAATGATATAGTTGAAACTGTGCTTTAGATTATTCAACACATGGTAATAAAGATAGTAGGGGAGTTGAATTGATAAGGGTTCTCTTAGGATACAAATAAAAAACTTGGTGAGAATATAGGGATATATCATAGAAGCCAAGTACAAGAATGCAGGTCTTAGAATAGAATTAGAACTAGGAAAGTACAATGCTGTCAGTAACCCTGCAAGCACTGTCTGTCATCATCTCTTTTTCTCTCCTCTCTGTGTACCTTTGTGTGTGTGTGTGTGGGTTTGTGTGTGTATAAAGGAG